ATTAAGCCCTATTACTAGACTGCTGCTTTGGTGACAACATCTCCATGTCTCTCTTGGCTCCTCCCTATCCTAACTTTCTGTGACTGCTGTGGAAGCAGAGCTGGAGAGAGGGGCATACCCCTTCCTTGCTGGCACCAGCATATATGAGACCAGAAGGGAAGGAGAGACTCTCTCACTGCCTCCCCCACCTGCAGCAAGGTATGGGGTAGAGGGAAGCGGAGGCCTCTGTTGCCAAAGCATGACTCAAACTCCTTGGTACCTGGAATTTCCTTGTTTCAGCATTTCAGGTATCTGGGAAAGGAAGACCTTCAGTCTCTGCCACTGCAGCCAGGGAGCCCAGAGTTCTTCTCTGGCTCAGGTAACAATCCAAGCCAGAAAGGAACTATGAGGTCATAATGCTCATCTCAGAATGGAGGTGAGCAGTGCAAGTTGCTGAGATTCACATTCTGAACCATGAAATTACAGGCATTGGTCCCACTTCACTGTTAATGGGGTCTTTTATTACATTCCATATTTTGATTCGTATTCTGGCATTTGAGTATTGCAGGAGCCTTTCAGGTAACAGTTGCATATCAAGGTGAGTGCATGTTATTTATTGTATTTATTTGCAGCAAATCTCTTGCCTTTAACCATGAAACTTGATAAACAGAATTCCATATTCTTCTGACCAAAGCGAAACCAATTCCCACCAGAAAGTTATCTTTCGACAGTGAAGCGTATTTCCCTTCTATTCAAGCATTACAATAGGAGATTCTCCTCCACCCTACACACACACACACACACACACACACACACACACACACTGCACAATTTGATCATGGAAACCGATCTCCCAAACATCACTAAAAACCTAATTTGTTTGAATAGGAGCATCAGGGGAGCCTTTTTATTATCAAAAAGCATTTGCTCATTCAGACATTTGGGTAAATAGGAGTGATATTTGCACAGGATTATGCCAACTTGCATATATATACTTTGTGTATATTGTGAATCTGGATAACTAGGACATTTAGATAAGAGAGGTATGGATAATTGATCTTCTGCTCTAATTGCCCATCAGTTTAGCTTAGCATCAGGGCACCATGTAGTGCACAAGCTGCCGTGGGCATTATCATGGAGACAGGCACCACAGACAATGGATGGTCAGCCATTATAAAAATTGTGTCTTCAAACAAGCCAACATCAGAATAGTAAAATCCAGGTTTAGACAGCTTGTTTTTAAATGGACATGAAGCTCAAGGGATTTACTCAGGAAAACTTGGGTGTCTTTAAAAGAGGATGGAGAATGAAGCTTTGTTGTTTAAAGCCATAGGATCCCACACTATAGATACAACACACGAACAATCATTTTGACATAGTTATCACAAGAAAACAGAAAAATAAGACTCCCCCTGATACATACAATGTAAATCACACATTGCTCCTCCACAATAAGTTAAAAAGGCATTAAAACAAAACAGAAGTGCATCCTGCCCACTCAGCTTTTTGGGGGGAATCTAGTTCTTATTTTCTTAGCTCCAAAACCAATTAATAATAACAACAGCAATAATAATTTATTATTTCTACCCCACCCATCTGGCTGGGTTTCCCCAGCCACTCTGGGCGGCTTCCAACAGAAGCTTGAAAATACATTAAAACATCAGTTTATTTATGCTACTTTGATGGCAGTGGTCCAGGGTGAATCTGTTTGACAGGGACTGGAAGACTCATGTAAGAAGCTTGTGCCTAGGGTGCTCATATAAGGGGCAACTTCACAGGTTCGTCAGCTTTTCCTGACTCACAGAGGATTCGATAAATTCATGGAGGATCAAACTGTTAGTTGCTACTAGCCATGATGAGTATGTTCTACCTCCACTGTCTCTAAATGTCAGTTGTTGGAAACTACATGGGGTGTGTTTGTGGCTGTTGTGTTCAGGACCTGCTTTTGGGCTTCCTGGAAGCATCTAATTGGCCACTGTGAGAATAGGATGCTGGATTAGATGGGCCATTAGCATGATGCAGCAGGGCTCTGTGTATATTCCTTAAAAGTTTATGCATTCCCCCAAATTAAACAGGCTCCCCATGCAGGCTGGGGGGAGTGATGCGATTGTAGCCAATGGAAGACTGCAAATGAATGAGTAGCAGAGACAGTGGCAAAGAGATGGGCCCATTTTTGGGGGGGCACACTGAGGGGGTTGAAAGCTTCCTGCCCCTGGAATGAGAGCAGCAAGTGGAAAGTAGCTACATTTTTAAAACCTCTTTTTGACTCAGTCCCTCTCGAGAAGGCATTTCTACAACTGACAGGGAACGTTGCTGTGCAGTGCAAGGCAATGGGGACATCTAGTGGCCAACTACACATGGGCGTTGCCCAAGGGAGTGTGCCAACCAGTGTGCCCAAGGCAATATTTCCTTCTTAATTCTACCAGACTTGAAATAAAATGCACACTGGCTTCTTGCCAAGTGTGGCACACTCTCACTTTCTCCCTCTCTGCATCTTTAGTTGATTGCAGAGAGGCTCTTTTGATGGATGGAGAAAAGCCATCTGATTAGAAAGGAATTTTTTTTATTGAGTCAAGATCAAAACTGTATAACACAGATGAGATTCTTTATGTGCTGCAGACTAGCAAAGCCTTTGTAAGGGTGCTTGATAATATATTGTCCTCTTGTCAGTATTGCTTAGCAGATGCCGGTACCCTTGACGTAAGAAGTGGAGGAAAGCATTGTGGTGCTGCTTTGGGGCTTGATGGCACAGGAGTGGGGGTTTTTTTTTGTTTTTTTTGAGGGGGTGGACTTTTTGTTCATCAGTTTCTATTTGGTCTTTAGTGTATGAAGATGGCACAATCTAGTGTCCTCCTCCTATCGGCTAGTCCTATCCATCCTTGCTTGCAAGTAATTGCATGATTTACACCCAAGTAAATGTTCATAGAGTTATAGCCCTGTTGCAAGAGGCTAATAGCCCAGATCTCATTAGTGTTCAAGAGGGTTTATTCCTATGTGCACAGGATTGCAGTGATAACCTGCAAATCAGTGAAGTTGCAATCCTATCCACTCATACTAAGGAGTCACTCCTATTGAACTAAGTAGGACAAAGCACACATTGGAACAGGCTGTCATCCTGTCCCGTCTTACTTGAAAGACAGTCTCACAGAGACTCATTTCCATGTAAAGATGAGCTGCACAGCTGCTGTGCTCTGTATAAGTCTCTGGGAGTCCCTTTAAATTCAGTGGGACTTCCTGTGTGCCTTACACAGATGTTTCTATCTTATTCAGAAGAAATGGGTATTCTCAAGCTTGCCTACAAATGAGCAACAATGTGCTGCATGGTGGAGCGCTCCTGTTCTAGCCTGCCAGCCCTGTCCTTTTTCTAGGCAGGGATACTGCAGAATTCTGATGGAATTTGGAGCAGAAATCACCACAATTTGCTATCATTGGCCATCTTAGCCCACAACATTGCATAATTATACTATTTTCTCACTTTCTTGTGCAGGGGCGGGGGGAAATGTTTCCCTTCTATTAAAATGCACTGAATTTAATTACGTAACCAATTACATAATTAATTGTGTTTGTTTCAGCCATAGCAGATAACGAGATGAAAACTGTAGAAGCCAAAATGTAGCAGAACAGAAACAGCACCAGTTGTGGTGGAAACAGGAAATTGCTGTCTCCTTACATCCCTGCTTCTAGGACATTCAATTTCATTCCCCTGCCACCCCCATTTTTCTGCTTTCCCCCATCACAGACATGCAACACGGCCACTGAACATTATCTGTCTTCACTCAGGGCCCACCTAAGAGACAAGGTGAGGCAACCCCTCAGGTGGCAGAATCCACAGGGGCAGCAGATCCTGCTCTCAATCTTGTTTCTGGTGTAGATCTTTCCTCACGAAAGGGGGCACTATTTTGGGGTCTGCCTCAGGTGCCAAAATGTCTTGGAACGGCCCTGTCCTCACTGGCCTGTTTTTTAAGTGTGTTCCCCACCCCACCCCAGTGGCCATTTTTGCCCTGAAATACTCATTGTACTTCTGCAAACCTTGGGGTTTCTCTGAGCCTGCTGATATTTATTGATTACTTTATCATTTTCACAAGCCCACCCTTCACTGTATTGATCCCAGAGTGGATTACAACACACTGGACCAGAAGCAAACAGGCCAACACCACATTGAAAAGTACTTCAAAACATAGGTGGCAATTCTAAAAGTGTAGGCACTGACAATAAGTGGTGGACCAAACCAGTGGTGTATTCAGGATACCCTGTTAAAGGGGTCTGGGTGGAAGACTCTGTCCAGAAGCTGAGTATGGGGCAGGCCAGCCACAGAGCTTCCAGTGGCAGTCTTAGGCTGACCACCTCAGTAGATCGGCATCTTGGGGATGCCTTAATCTTTGGTACAACACTGAAAACATTTCAGCCCTCTTCCGGGGGCTCAAGTTGGATATATTCCCAGTGCAAAATCCACCTACATCTGGAATCAATAAAGTCGTGACCATTTTTGACCCAAATTGTTGTCTACTTGAGTTTATTCTTTGCACATTAGCAGGAGACACTGCACAGGTGTGGGGATGCTGTGACTGGGACTGCAATAACTACCATTTCTTTCTGACATATTGTTTCTCAGTGAGCCTGTTCTGGCTAGCATCCCATCAGCACTCACCAAGTGACTTTGTTATTAGAGAGAGTGATTGAACTGAGACTGCCAGTACAGACGAAAGGGTCAGTTTGCACATAGGGTTAAAGCTTCAATAATAATTTTTAAAAGGGATGTAAAGCTCTGAGACTGGACATCTTCAAGGACAACCAAGAAGCTGGAGCACCACTGAGCGCTTGAACTTCTCTGAATTTTGCCTCTTGTTCTTGCGTCATCTCTGGATGCTACACAATGCCAATGAGTGTTATTCCTAAGCATAGTCCTAACCTAGAATCCCATGCAGGCTCACCCCAATCCTGAGAGCTTCTTTGGGTACGTATTTCCAAAGTGTAGGTTATCTCCTGGGTTGATGTATGGTGTTTTCCCTTGTCCCTGACAGGTTGTTTATAAGAATAACGACATCCGTCTGGAGCTGTCTCGCTTGGCGAGGATTGGTGACACAAAAATGAAAATCTATGGGGAGGTGAAGTTCATGTGTGAGAACGTGGCCACACTGGACCCCATCAATTTTGAGACACCCGAGGCCTACATTAGCCTGCCTAAGTGGAACACCAAGCGCATGGGGTCCATCTCCTTTGACTTCCGCACCACAGAGCCAAATGGTCTTATACTCTTTACCCACGGTAAGCCCCAGGAGAGGAAGGATTCCAGGAGCCAGAAGAACACCAAAGTGGACTTCTTTGCAGTGGAACTCTTGGATGGGAACCTCTACCTACTTCTCGACATGGGCTCTGGAACAGTCAAAGTGAAGGCCACTCAGAGGAAAGCGAATGATGGAGAATGGTATCACGTTGATATTCAGAGAGATGGCAGATCAGGTACGTAGAAAAAAATTCCTGGGAATAGTCCACCCCCAACTATAGAAACACAGACCCTTCACGATGGTTGAAGAACAGGATCAAAGACCACTGGTCTTTGACCTTTGAGAATTCTTGGAGACCAGAGACTGAAAAATATTGTCTCTGCCTTTAGGAAAGGATGAAAGGCAAATCTGGGGAACTGCCGGCTGGTCAGCCTGATAACAATACATAGCCATTCCTCTTCTAGGGCAGGAACCCTGGACATAACAATTCCTTTGATTCCTGGCATCTGGGATGCTGCTATGACCCCATCACTAGACCCTCTTCCCATTGCCATTGCTGTTGCCCTATGAATTTGTGTGCAAAAGTGAAGGGTGTGTGGCAGGGAGACCAGAGATGGTCAAACCTGATTGCTAATTGTGCTGAACTTTAGAGGAGTTTGAGTCCGGTTTGGAAGGGGCACCAGGATATTCAGCATTGGGGGTGCTAATTTCTGAACCGTGAAATTCTGAACCTAGCCACCATCGCTACTATGCCAGGCAAGAGTTGCCACCGAAGTTCCTCCTAATGTGAAATTCAAATCAAACACGTGTTTCCCCCAGCATGGAGCATCTGGGGAATCTCAAGGGAAGCAGGAATAAATAAATCTAGTATAATTTCACACGAGAGTTTTGGAAATCCTTATACTGCCATCAGATTTAATTTGCAACAAAATCCAGGTAGAATGTCGAGCTTCCTTCTAAGATGAAATCCACCCCTGGGATTTTGAGAAAAGCAATAACAAAGGTTATTGTTGAAAAGCTGGGGGTGGGAGGGATGTTACAAATTCCTAGGGCAGGCATTCAATTCCTTTGGTACTACGAGACATTTAAATATTTGCTGTTAAATTCATTGTGGAGATTCTATTTTTTGTACTCCCTTATGTCATTCCAGCTTCCAAGTTTTTGTTTTTTAAACCCACACTACATTTGGGAATCATATATAGAGGAAGACTGGATGTGGGATGAATGGTGCTGGAATTTGATGTTTCTGCTTTTTCAAAACAACATACCTTCAGTAGATAGTACAGAATTCTCTAGCTTACTTAGGTATTATTTTTTTAGCCAGAAAAATATTCTCAGGGGTCTAGGAGAAATTTGTATTTTCTTCTTCAACCCTACTATAGTTTAATGTTAGCAGGTTTGCAACAGCTGTGCTTGTTGTTGAGAAATTCCAGAATTTTATGGGGATGTAAATAAGTAATCAAATAATTGATTTTTGTGTGGGGCAGGTTGGTTTGCATTTAATTAACTTGCGAGGATAAATTCAATCAGCAGCATTCATTGCTTCTTAGTCTTGCTTACATATATGGCAGATATCTGGCCTCTGGGTAGCAACATTTAGCATTAGAAATATAAAAGGAAGAAGGCAGAATCCAAGCCAAGCTGAACATTTTGTAGTGCAATTCTATACATGTCTACTCAGATGTAAGCCACATGGGGTTCAGTTAGTGATTATATGATTGTATTCATTAAGCCCCATTTATGTGAAGCATGTGTGCTCACAAGCTTTGCTATTTTCTATGGAAATCAACGGGACAATAATGCTGTATTGTGGGTGGATTAGAAAGTGCAGAATCCAACCATAGTTCAGCACTTCAAAGTAAAGGTGATTTTAGTGGGACAGAGCTACTTTTGTGCTGAATTTTCCTGCTTCAAGTAGATGGGATTTTAAACAATATTACTCTGATTTTAATAGAAGGAGATCCTGTAGCTTTATGGTCTCTTTAGAGGAAGAAGCTTGTCCCATCTATTTCAATGGGGCAATCTCCAAATGGTAATGCCCATGAAAAAAGGTCAGCAGGTGGGTGGCAGCTAAGGTGGGAAAGACCCCAATCCACTGCTGCTCCTGATCTGTAGACCATGAATTCAGTTCCCCAATCCCTAGAGTTTCTAGAAACTGAAATCTGGACCTTCAGCATGCAGATCAATATGGTCTCTAACCAAGCTATGGATCCCTCTTCCTTAGTATTCTTTCTGCCCTCACTATAATTTGAAAAACTACAGGATGCATTATTTTCGTATACATGAGTGGGCTTAAATTTGTGGGCCAGGTGTGCACCAGGGCTTTGTGATGCAGTTATTTCACATTAATCCTTGAGATCTGCACTGTGCACTGTATCGAGGTGTGTACTGTCTTGAGTTCCAGCATGAGCCTAAGAGAGAACACTTGCTCTTCCTCCCAAATCTTCCTGCACCAGACTGCCAGATTGTTGATGTAGGACTTTCAAGGCTATGTGCAAAAATAGCCATTTGAGGTTCCTGCATCACTGCAGAGGATTGGGTTGGACGTCCTTCGTTTGTCTTCCAACCTATCAGTTTTATTATTCTGTGCCTCTGTTTTTTGACAGGCTTAGCAGAGGGCAGCAAAGCATTTCAGGACAAGTTTTCTGTGTCAGCTGTGTTTTGTCTCAGCTGACATCTTCACTCTCCTGTGCCAAAACCCCATCCTTTCACCAGGATTCAAACTGCCACGGGAACTTGACTTGTGCCACAACTGTGGCTGCTGGCTGACGTGATCTCTTTCTTTCAGGCACCATATCGGTGAACAGCAGACGGACACCCTTCACTGCTAGCGGGGAGAGTGAGATCTTGGATCTGGAAGGGGACATGTATCTGGGCGGACTGCCTGAAAACCGGGCAGGCCTCGTCCTCCCTACTGAGCTCTGGACAGCCATGTTGAACTATGGCTATGTGGGCTGCATCCGAGATCTCTTCATCGATGGGCGGAGCAAGAACATCCGGCAGCTGGCGGAACAGCAGAACGCTGCCGGGGTCAAATCATCCTGCAGTCGGCACAACACCAAGCAGTGCGACAGCTATCCCTGTAAGAACAATGCTGTTTGCAAAGATGGCTGGAACCGCTTCATCTGTGACTGCACTGGCACTGGCTACTGGGGGAGAACGTGTGAGCGGGGTAAGTCCAGCAACCAGAGAGGGAAACTTCTGTCCTGAGCTATACTGGGCCACGTTATGTGGCACACTAACTTAGCACAAATGCACTTTCCCCTACAGTCCTGCCACATATGAAAACAGTGATTCAGACTAACCCTTATAGCCTCCAATGTGTAGCCATTCTTTTAAAGATCCTTTCCAGTGCACTGCACATGTAGTGGGACATTCAGGGTGTGCATAAAATATACCAGCAATTGCATGTATGACTTCTAGTTCTCATGATCCTTCTGATACCTTCTGAAGGAAAAGGATTGTGGGAATTTCATGACTCCGGTCCATCCCAGACAACACAGGAAATGGTTTGGGATGATGGGAATTGGGGTTCTGCAATATCTGGAGGGCACCATGCTATTGACAATGATAAACAGTTCCATGACGGTGTTTGCAGGATCATGCTAAACTTGATTTCCTACATGCACATGAAAGAAAAAGAGAGATAGAGCATATTTTGTCCCCTTCTGTGTATTGTTCCGGTGCTAACATTTGACTGTCAGATCCAAATCAATAATGAGGACTGACATTCACCTGTACCACAGGGGAATCAGTTAAGAGATGAGCAGAGTCTTCCTGGGTACAGCAGGTGTCACAGGGCCATTTTCCCATGGTCTTGTCTCACTGGTCACTTAAAGGCGTCTGACTGGGGATATATGAGACACAATTATTTCTGGTGCAGACAATCAAGAGACACATCCATTCTTGGCTAAATGAGAAGGAGCTGAGCAAATGTAAGGCATTTGATCTATACACTGTTCAAATTCCAGACGGTCCCATTTATTGTCATCCTTGTATTGTGCCTGATGCCGTGCACAGAATGAATTGAGTGAGAAGGAGTTATTTTTGAGGTTTTTTAAAAGCCAAACCAAAGTAGTAGCACAAATTCTCCCATTTCCTTTTTCTGAGGCAAATTTATTGGTAATATTATAGTATACAGATCTCCTAGGTCTGTCTTTCCTTCTCTCTCTCTTGTATAGACTGATAGCTGGCGGGTGAGGGGATGGGATGGACAAGCAAGGAACAGGAACACTTGAGTTCCTTTTGTCTTTAGCTCAGGAGGCTGTTGTGTGATTCTGGGAAGCCAAGGAAATTCCTAGTCCTTCTGATCCAAGTTATTGCAAGGATGCTTCTGAAGCCACGTGAAAGAAAGAAGGAACAATTTTGACAAGTGGTGGATTGCCTCAGTTCACCTTTCAATAGGTTACTGCCACAGCTGTTTGTTTTTTTAAAAAAAGATTTGCAGATGTATTCAGAAACAAGATGGAACATATTTATGAGCAGACACATGTGAAAGCACCACTGGCTGGACATATAGATGGATTCACTCGTCTCTACTTGACGTCCTGCTATGCCTCATTTGTACATCACAGTAAGCCAAACTATGGCTTGCCAGAACTGTGTGGACATGCAGGCTCCTGCAGAGATACATGTTAAAGAACATTTACATTCATACAGGGTAGGCCTGCCAAAACAAAACAGGGTTTTAAGCAGCATCTGAGAACAATACACTGAAGTTGCCTTCCTAACATGAGCAGGGTGTTCAGTGCTGCCACACAGGAGGACTGATTAACATTAGGCAGAACTAACATTAAGTTAGTTCCAGGAACCTATCAGCCTCCCTCGCTTTCCAAGGATGGGCCACCTGAACAGGCCCACTACTCTTGCAGGAGGGAATTGACACCACCAGTCCAAACTTCACCAAAATAATGGTCCAACCATGACAAGGGAGTGCTTTGAAGGCAGGCCAAAATGCTTATGGTGATGGATCATTTGTAACAGTGTGACATTAAATTGCTTCATATGCACCCAGCATGTACTGTATCTGTGCGTGAGATTCTATGCTGCAAGTGTGATATGAATCAACCTGGACCCTGACATGAGACGTCTGGAGGGTGGCAACATGAGAACAGGCCTTTTCTGTGGTGGCTCCCCATTTGTGGAATGCTCTCCCCAGGGAGGCTCGCCTGGCACCATCATATATAAACTTTCCTCTATAAGCAGGTCTTTGGCCTTTAACTATCTGTGGCCTTTTAGAAGAGGGTGGGGTGTTTTTAATGTGTTTATTTCTCTCTCTCTTGGCTTTAATGTATCTTTGTGGGGGTTTTGTGTCTGTCTGTTTGGTTGCAAGTTGCTTTGGGTTGCCCTGGGCAAGAGAAAGCGACTAACAAATTCAGTAAGTAATAATAATAAAATGAATAATGGGCAGCAAGATGTTGCAGGGTGTCCTCCTCACTTCATAGCACTTCTGTTCAGGGTTCCAGTTAAAAAGCATCCATGTCCTTCATTAGGATATTATAAGCTGGAAGCAGCTCCCCTCCTTGGTTTTCTGTTTTTCGTTTCCAACTGAGCATGTTCAAACCCTTCTGGGCTGTTTTGGAGGACTTTTTGGCTCCCTTACATTTTAGAGATGTTTGTTTGGTACTTCTGCAAATTTCAGTGCCCTTCCCTCACAGAAAACCCCAAACACATGCCATTGCCTCCTCCTTATTTAACAGCAGCCCTGTTTGGGCTCCATTTCTGTTGGTGCTCCCCACTACCCAAGTTTGCTGTTAGAGACTGTGGTGTTAGGCATGAACCTGCCCCTAAAATGAATTTGCCTAATTGTCCATGAGAACTAGACCTAAATTGAGTAATTAGTAAAAGAAACCCTGCCTTGTGAAACATCTGTCTTGCTTGATACACATATACCCCAAGGCCCCAGTGTGTCCCTAGCTTGGAACATGGCTCATTATTTCCCAAAAAAGACAAATGTACCATCAAAGACTGTTGGAGAATTCATGTTCTTGTAGTGACGGGGCTGGATGTTCGGAATTGTGTGTCAGAGAATGGATGCCTGTTTTGCTAACAGTTACACCACTCTCCTCCCCCTGCCCCAAGTGCTGGTTATGACATATAAAGCTCTATATGTCTTAGGTTCAAGCTATTTGAAAGACATGATGATGATGATGATGATGATGATGATTAGTAGTTCTAATATCTCAAAGTGGTTTCCAGCCTACATTATAACATCAAATAAAACAATCCAGAACAAAATATGAAGTGTACATTCAAAACAACATAATTAAATGGAAACAAAAATATTATTTTAAAGATTGAAAGATAAAGCATTACAGAGGAGGTCAACTACAGATTGCACATTTAACACAGCAAAGGTAGCCCCCCCCAAAAAAAAATCCTCTCATACGAACCTGCCTGGGTTTTGACATCTTCAGAAGAGACCCTTCTCTCGATCTCGCCACCCTCACAGGTATGCTTGTTGAGGATGCAGCAAAGGGTCTTCTTGATAGCTGCTCCCGGACTCTAAAACTCCCTCCCCAGAGAAGCAAGACTAGCTCTCTCCTTGTTGTCCTGCTGGCAAATGAAGACCTTCCTGTTCCAACAAGCTTTCGGGAGCTGACTGCTTTTAATGAAAGGGCTGGTGCTGTGTTGTTTTCATTGCAGTTATTGATATGGTTTTAATAGTTCAGAGACAGAGAGAGGAGAGAGAGAGAGAGATTTAATCCTATCAATGTTTAATTTTTTAATCCCCCCCTATGTTGTTCTTACCTTGAATCTCTGTCAAGGGGGAGACCTGGGGTATAAATAAATACAATTACTACTAATAAAAAAATGATAATAATAGGTCCTAACGCAACAAGCAATAAGGCTTTATTGGCATACAGTGTTGCATCAGTTTCATTAAGGCAAACAAGGGTGAGTGAGATGCTCCACAGATGACAGGGAGTGCAAAGAGAGGGCTGGTAGTGGAATAAGGACAGATGGAGTCACAGTGGCATTAAAAATTCTGCTTAGTTTTAGGGAGCAATTAGCATTGTCTGTGTCTATCGGCTTCTCATTTGCTTGAGAGTCTGACAGCAGCTGCAGCGATAGGTGAGCGCAATAGCTGTGGCGGCTGAGCTAATGAAGGTGCTCTGCAGACGGAAAGATCTGGATTATGGAGATGATGTGTGTTTCTGCACGGATGTGAAGCCACCTTCTCACAGTCTGCAGGCTTTTCCGGAAACAAGAACCAAGCATAGCCCTGACTGAAGCACGGAGCGTGCACCATATTCAAATCAGTTTCATTATATTGGCGATGGATTTGTTGGTGCCGGAAATGCCAATTTCTGAAGGAAATGCAACATATTGTTACACGCCACCCCAGTCTCCATGAGCGGTGTGAGATTCCAGGGGTTGCAGGCACACTTTAACCTGGGCTCTGTGTTTTCTTTTGGGAATGAGGTACAGAGGAGACTGTGGTGTCTTCATGATGGAAGGTTTCTTTACACTTATATGCAACCTGATTCTAGTTGGAAGGGAATCTCAGCATTACACCCCAAGAGCATCTCCCATAGGTGTGATCGTCTCAGATTTTAATGAGACGTAAGCCATGCCTCTGCATCTCTCCCTCCTGCTTGCCACTTCCAGACTGGAGAGGATTTTCCCTCCCTGCTCTGACCACTTCCTCTCAGGCTTGCAAAACTGAGACCCCCCCCCCCAATTTGCTTACTTCAGGCCCACAGTGATTCTGAAACGTTTCCCTCCCAGCTCTGGTATTGTCTTTGCTAACTATTCCCCATTTGTGGCTGGCACAGCCTCTGCTTTGCTAAGCTCCAGCCTTTGTTTCTTAATGGCTTATCTGCTAGACGATTCCTTGGTCAGGAAAAAACCACACCTAGTAAATTTAGGAGGGGGGATTTGGCACCCAGGAATTTAGGGGCATCCATAACAATATCTTGGCTGGCATCCAGACCGTTTTGCATTCTTCTCCTTTATATCAATTGGGTTGAGCATGTTTTGTTTCACCAAAGCCGGCTCCAGCTTCTTGCCCTGCAGATGTTTTGGGCTAGGATTCCCACCACCCCTGACATATTGAGGACATTAGGTTAGGGAAGGATGACTTAAGACTTGTTGTTTCATAAAGATGCAGTGAAATGGTGAAATTTGACAGACTAATGGAAAGATCTTGGCAAATTCAGAGTTGAGTCA